TTTTAAAAATATTTTTGAAAACTTAGTAGCAGAAAATAAAAAGCAGGAAATAAGTTGCAAAAGTTAAAAGAGTTAAAGGAAAATAGGAACATCGAGAATTATAGAGGTTCGATCAAATCAAAATGACCTATACTCTCACCAGGAATTGATCTTGAGGGTTTCTAATAAATATTGATAGCTTTTAGTAGGAAAGACTCACGAACCCACTTATAAAAGGAAATGATGGTTGACCTTCAAACAAATAATATAAGACTCCGGAATATGGCAGTTCAAGTCTTCTCTTCCAAACAATATGAAATTTTATTTCTCAAGGGATAAATGTTGGACCACACGTCTGATATAACTTGTCCAACTTGTTAAACCATATTTAACACAATATGAAAACCACAAAAACTAAAGGTAAAAGCAATAAATAACATAATAGAATTGGTAACTCAGTTCAGTGCAAACCACACCTACATCTGGGGGCATCCAATCCAAGAAAGGAAATTCATTCTTCTATAGAATTAGTACAAAGTGTTTTAGATGAACAAGACCCTTGTTCAATGTATCTCTTCTTAAATATACCCTAGTGTATTTATATTTAGTACCCCCCCTAAATATATGAACCCTCTCTTACTTTCTCTCAATCATTAATCTCAAGTAATCAACTTCAATAAACAACTTAGAGAATATTGAATTACAACTCAACTAAACAAACTAACTACATTGCCTTATGATATGAATGAAGCAATATAATGGTGTACAATAAATACAAACAAAAGACTCAAATAAACCCTAGCACAAAGATAAGAACACACTCAATGATGAGTTAAGAGTATCCTTAAATAGAAATGCAATTCTGGGTTATTTCTCCTTAGATATTTGGTTTGATTTCGTCCAGAAATATAACCGATACAATTGTATTTGATTTATTCCAAAAAAAGTCTCCAACAAAATATATGATTGGTTTTTAATTCAAATTCAAATTTAAATATCCATTTAAATTAATGTGATCTTCAAACAAATGTCAAACAAATCACACACATATTGCTAAATAATTTGCAATAAATCTAATTAGAAAATTATGCGTAGAACACCTACGACATTGGCCTATTGACAAAGGCTTGATGTTGCACACATGTCGGGACTTCTGTTCCCATATGTGTCCTTCTGTTCCCATATGTGTCATTCTTCACATAAGAAACTTGAACAAACCATGTTGTTTTTCATAATGCAGTCAATCCAAAAGGAACAACAATCTCCCTCTTTGGCAAATTTTGGAAAAAAATTCTTTAAAAACATACAAGATGTGTAACATAAGTTGAGCATTAAGTACATGATAAGTGCAAAATTGTAGTTGTTATGTATATATTTTTTGTTGCACTTATCGACTCTTTGTTTTTAATATCGGTTGAATAACCCTGCTTTTTTATTGTAAATACGTTTAATTATGTTTTGTATACATATTGTGTCGGTTGATTAGTTTTGTATATGTTTTGTAGGTATTTGAACATGGTTGGAGCAATGAGGAATATAAGCTCCAAGATGCATTTTTGGATCAATAAAGGAATAAGGAAAAAGATTGGAGCCATTGAAAGTTATGCAGGAAAGCAACATAAGTTGTTGGGCTGTCATGGATCGCTGGGTGATAGAAGTCGTTGTCGGGTGAAATTTGAAGGCCATTTTTGATGATTGCCTCTGCCTTGCTTCGATGTTGTGTCGCCAGGCGAGGAATAAAGGTGTCGTAGGGAGAAGCTTTCTGTCTCCGGATGACGGGGGATAATTTTGACCTATTGAGGACGTGGCTTATTCTGTGCCAAGTGAATAAGAGACGTTTTCGGGCGACACTTTTATGTCGCCCGGGCGATTCTCGAGGAACACATTTTCTTTATACTTTAATTTTGTTTCATTTTGGGTGAATGGTTTTGGGGGGGTGAATTTTTGTTTTCCCAACTCCATCAACCTCATTTTTGTAGTGGATTAGCTTAGATAACAACACTAGGTCTTTGCTTATGGATGATTGGAGGTGTATTTCTCATTAATCAGTGCTGACAAACCAGAATATTTTGGGTTTATCTCTTCTCCTCTCTATGTACTTCTCTTTTGTTGGGTTTTGTATGTATTTTACTTTGAAATTATGTATATTTGTCGCCCATGGCGTTATATTAACCTTGCTTTACAAATCTTTGTAGATTGTTATCTTGGATTTTTACTTTGTGCTAGGGATTTGAGTTGTTATAGACATATACTACTTAGATTCTTATCTAGGATGATTATCTGTTAGTTTCTGAACCCTAGAGATAGATTCAGAGTTGACATCTACTTAGGTATTAAAGCTTAATGCCTCTGTGTGGTTGTGCTATGCTGAGAGATCATCAATGTGATTACATAGTTGTCTTATGTCTTGTTGAGGAGGTAGATATATCATTTCCTTGGTGATACAGTCGGTATCTCAATTTGGGTTAAAAATGACTTAGGTTGTGAGTGATACGTAGTGACATTGATAAGCATTGTTAGGTTGAATGTAACTGGTCAATAGATTTAAGTCTATGATTAGTAAAATATATGCAGGCTTGATAAGTTCTTCCTAAGTTTTTTTGTGTTTACATTTGTTTTATGTTAATACTTTTATTTTCAACCCATTTATCCTCAAACTCATTAACGAATGATTTGTCTAACGGTGATTCAATAACCAATCTCTGTGGAAACGATATGATATAACCTATATCACTCAATAAATTAATAGCTTACTTTTTTCTTGCCGCTATACCTCTGCAATAGCACACCACACACAACCACATAGAGAAAAAAAATCAGTAGCAACTGAAATCATAGTAGCAGTAGCATACATCAGTAGCATAGTTAGAAATCATGAGGTTGATACACAATAAATGCCCCATAACACTCAATCATGCAATCACAAAGTCAATCGTCTATGAACACACATTTAATAGTCACAATAGTTAATGTCATAAGATAATACTAACATAGAAAGATATCAGCACACATAGTTTAGGCCCAGTTGCCAAGTTAGATGCTTCAACATGTGTGCACCCCCTTAGAATAGTTAGTACATCACATCACAATCAACAGTATATCAACATAACTTAGAACTCATACATCACTCATCAGTAGTTAGTAGTCAAAATACACTACCCCTACACACCATTTCTTCCCCTTTTTGCCATGATTTAGCAAAGATGTTCCTCAGAAAAATCATTGAGTCAGCACAAAGGTCAGTATGTCAGCTGATACACACACTAAATTAGGAGTAGATAAGCATCAACCAATATGATAATAAATGTTAAACAAGATGCTAGAGAATTAAAACAATTATTGGTTACAAAAACCATAAGGTTGTCAAGCCATTACAACTCCATAATAAGGAGACAAAATATGCCTAAATACAAGGGTAAAAAAGAGAACTTAAAGAAAACAAAAAAAAACTGACGCTAACTAGCACCCAACCACACCAAACATCACATGTCCTACCAGACGTCTGGTGAATCCTAATTGACTTAGAATAATTTAATCTTTAGAAACTTCCTCCTCCTCTTCACTATCTGCTTTTTTTTCTTCTTCACCTTCCTTCTCATTAGTCATCAAATTGATCAATTCGTCCACCTACTTCTTCCTGATGGTGCTTGCAGTTATAGTTGATTTCAGAGTCTTGGACATTTCCATCAGTTTATGTAACACGTCATTTTTAGTGGCTTTGGAGACAAAAGAAGAATTTACATTTGTATATTGTTCTTGGTTTCTTGGCACTATAATGTCTGGGACATGTGTTCCAATAAACAACATGTAGTCAAGAGTCAGTGGCCATGACTTCTTGTTCTTAATTTCTTCAGCATGCACAATATTGGGATGTTGGTCAATATGATCCTAGTGATTAAATAAGAAAAATCTATTGGATGTTTTACAACATGTGAGTCAACATGTTTCATGGTCTGGTTAACTACATATTCTTGAAAGTTCAGTTTAGACTTGGTCCCAATTTGAAAGATCAGCTTGGCCAAGACATAGGATATGCCTGACCTATGATTAGTGGGTCCCCAATTTGTTGCACATATCTTGTTCATTATATCATACGTCACACTTAGACTACCGGAAGGTATTAATCATTTCTTTGGCCATTGTTTAATTTGCTTTGCAGTTATTCTTATAGTTATCTTGTCCACTGATGGAACATCATCATCCTCTGCAGTCTTGCTTCTTCCCAGGAGCTCATTTATTCTATCAAGAGATAAATTCACACAAAAACCCTTTGCATACACCTTCTTAAATTCTTTGATACTCTTAATATTGCATTCATTGAGAAAGTTAACAATGAACTCCATAACTAATTTTTCATAGCAAGGTTCAATGTCCGAAACAATTTTCATTAATCTTACATACTTTAGTAGATGCGTTATTTCATGACACTCAAAATTATCTTTGGTCAGCTACCTTTTCTGGGAAAATCTTCTCTGGACCGTAAACTTCCACTTCTACAAATTGCCTTCTGAGTGAAATGACACATTGTCCAAATGGGCAACAGGAATATTGATAGGAACTTTTTTTACTCTAATATTTGTCCTAGAAGAAGGCACGATGTATAAGACATCTGATTCAACATATGTCTCTGAGTCACTTTATGATTCAAGTTTCCTCTTAAGGGAGTTTCTCCCAATAGCCTTTTCTTATACTCTCTTCTTCTTTTTCCAGAGGATTTGTCCTAGGTGTTTTTTGCTTCACATTTTTCATAGAAGGCCTTAGAGTATTAACTTTATTATCTTTATTTTTAGCTTTCATAACTATAGACCTATCTAAGCTTTTCAAAACAGTCAGAGTTGGTTCTTGAACAAACCTTATCTTCAATAATCTTTTTCATGATGTTTGAAATGGGAATGTCATCATCCTCATGACCTTCTTCATTCCTTTTACTATAAATGTAAGCCTCTTCATTTTGAGGATTCCCATTTCTCAAATCTTCAGAAGAATCATTAATTTTATCCAATATCATGTTCACATAAGGATTAAAAACAAATATTCACAGCTGACTCAGTAGGGGGTTCAGCCAGTGGTTCAGTAGATGTTGGAACAAATGCTTCAACATTTGGTTCAACATGTGAATCAACATATGATTCAACATGTGGTTCCTTAGAAATGGTATCCGTGTGAGCAGTATTTTTCCCAGTGGAATTGGACACAACTTCCTTATTGACATGCATACATTCAGAACTATCATGAATACATATAGATGGTTTCTTTCTAGAAGTAATAACATTTTCAGCAGATTTCTTCTCTATGGTGGCAATGCTCTTTGTTCGTCTTGATGAAATATCAATTGAAGAAACCATACTTATAGGTTTTTGGTTTTAAAACATGATAGGTTCATCATCATTTTTACCGGATTCATAAACCATAGTTTTCTTGGTTGTTTCTTTCTCCCCCATTTTAACCCTTATCATCAATATGCATTAGTGACTGACTTAGGTTTAGTAGTTTTAGCATAAGTGGGTTTTTGGATTATTTTGAAACTGGTTTGAAAGAAATGAAGATGAATAACTATGCTAGAACAATATATATATATATATATATATATATATATATATATATATATATATATATATATATATATATATATATAGAGAGAGAGAGAGAGAGAGAGAGAGAGAGAGAGTGAGAGAGAGTGTGTGTGTGTGTGTGTGTATGTGTATGTGTGTGTGTGTGTGTGTGTGTGAGAGAGAGAGAGAGAGAGAGAGAGAGAGAGAGAGAGAGAGAGAGAGAGAGAGAGAGAGAGACCAATAACTCTTTAGGAGTAGAAATGGAGAAGTTTTGAAAATTCACTAAAATAGGAATGATATGCCTTATTTCTTATGTAGCAATGATAGTAGGAGAGAGAAACTTTCCTTTGCTTTAACTTCTCATCCATGCAAAAACCAATATTGCCTTTTAGCCTTTAAAATTCAACTTTATTTATGTACTTTCTTTGAAAAAGAAACATATTATCTTCATTTTTAATTTGATTACCAAGATAATAATTGAACTTTCCATCTAGACTTTTCTTAATTTCAAAATGCACAAGTTGGACACAATGTTCCAATATCTTGTCTAACGTTTTACCAATCCAACAGTTATAAATAAGTTTTCCTTTATCAGTTCTTACATATAGAGTTTTATTTATTCTACCCATGCCTTTGAATTGTGTGGTTTCAATGAGGTTCAGATGAAGTAACTTCTCTTTTAGGAAAGGTTAGATGTTGGGCCATCTTGTTTATTTGGCGCATTTCACATATTTTGACAACATCTTCAGATATGATCTCCTCCATGATTTTAACCATGGATAAATGCAGATAGATCTACATAAAATTGTTGTCTTTGGATCTTGAACCCTTCATTATCACCTCTTGATCTTGGCTAGAGACAATACATTTATACTTGTTGTAGCTAACATACAGACAATGATCACATAGTTGACTTATGCTAATCAAGTTAGCAGTTAATTATTCTACCAAAAACACATAATCAAGTCAATGGAAGATTTGGATAGACCAGTTTACCTATGCCCTTGCTTTTTCTTCTTACTCTATCACCAAAAGCGACATAGTTACTAGAGTACGACTTTACCTCTTCAAGATAGATTCTCTTATTCAGTCACGTGCCTTGAACATCCACTATCAAAGTACCAATCTTCTCTTTATGAAACTCTAAGATATGTACGAGCTATGAGACAAGTGAAAGTTTCCTTTGGTTCTACACTTTCTTTGCTAGAGTATTCTTCCATTTCTTCCTGTTAAGCCTTAGCTGACTATGAGAATGAGGATAACCATATAGTTTATAGCAAAGAGGTCTAATGTGAGTATATCTACCACAATGGTGACACCTCTAAGATGAGTTCTTGTAGCCTCTTCTATTAGGGTACACATGTTGAGGAAGATTCTGGGACATGTGATCCTTCATAGTAACCTACATTCTTGCATCTCTTCATTATAGTAAGCTCATTCTCCAATGAGTTTTTCAATTTTATTTTATTTTTATGTTTTTATTTATAGTTATTTTTTAGGATACATTAGTTTTTTTAGGAACTTTAGGTAACAAAATTGGTAGGCTAGAACAATATGCAATGATGTTTTTTCGGAACTATTAGGGAACAAATGGGTTGATGCCATTGGAGACCACCGAGAGACACCAGGTTCTAGAGGAGTATTATTAGGAGCCAACTCATGTACACTAGGCTTATTCTAGGGGATACTTGACATGGTTTTATAGAGAGTATCACACCCTATTATGATGTCAGATGCTCCTGGAGAACGACCTAGTCTAGCTAACCAAGAGATACTTAAGGTTCAGGATGAGCAGGAAGAAAGCGCGACAACGGTAAGTCATTGTGTTGCGGAGATGGGTAAAGCAACCATAAAGTCAATACTCTTTAAGGATGGCAATTCCCAGTTATCTCTAGTGGAGCACATAAATTATGAGTTATGGAAAGTCATGCAGTACAGGTGGCGGAGGAGGAAGGAGGTTATACACACCCAGTAGTTTATATTGGGATGTTGTTACACTTGGAATTTTATCCAGAAGAAAGTCAACAAAGAATGTTAGTGAAAAGACAATTGCTGATTAGAAGACATTAATGAAGTGTTTTAAAGAACATTAATAACAAAGCATCAACAAAGCTTATATCATAGTGCCGATGAAAGGAAACTCGGTTGGGAGGAATCTCAGGAATAGATCCATAAGATTCAGATCATTTGGAAACATGTCCAAAATCTTGAAAAGGGAGGTCAACAGAACCTCCATTGCAACCAATATACCAGCCAATTGAACCACGAAAGTTAAAGACTTAGTATTTTTTATAAGTTCAAAAGATCTTTGCAACCAACGTCAATAACACGTTGGACAATTACTCTTAGAAGTTCGTGGGGCAGTTTGAAAGAATTATAATTCAACATGGGTTGTAAACAGAGAAAATTGTGGGTGACACCACTACTACGAAAAATATATTTCGTAAAACAATATTACAACGACCTCCTTGTTAATCATGGTAATGTCTCATTTTTGTTTTTTTTTGTATTTATTAAAATATATTTATCTATGGTCATAGTTAAAACCCGTAGTAAAATGTACACAGAGTTGTAGGGTTCGAATCCCTGCTGATTCAATTTCCCATTTTATCTTCACAAAAGGGAATGTCCTTGTATATCATAGTGGTTCTTTTAGTCAACCGTGGTATAAAGTTCAATCATTTCATCATGGTTCATCTTATCAACCTGGTGAAAGATGATATTTATTTATATATAAGCGAAATTATATGTCACTCAGTACATAACAATCATTTCTCTCAAAAGAAAACCCTAACATTTTTCATTATTCTCTCTCAAAACATAACCCTAACATCTATGTCACTCATATCACCTACGTCAACATTCAAATTCATCTACATAAAACTAATACAACTATGTCATCTTATTCAAACCAATGACTACCTTCAGGTTCGTTCATTAAACTTATGTAGCGATTTCATTTATGTTTCTATTTATCTATTATTGTTTAGTTTTTGTTTCTGCTTATTGTTTATGTTTCAAACCCTCACATATAATGTTTAAATCTTATTTATTATTTTTATTTCGAACCCTTATATTTAATATTCTGACTTGTTTATTTTTCTGTTTATGTCTTTGCTTGTTTTTACTTGTAGATATGGTTGGATAGATGAAAAATTAACAAGGATGAAGCTAATGTGCAGAAGCTCCAAATTCCTAGAGGTAGTAACAACATTCTTTGCTTTAAAAGAAGTTTTTGAAAACTTGCCTTTCTGACATGCTTCTTAAAGATCTTTTGAAGAGAACTTAAGATTAGGAAAGCCTCTGACTAAATTAAGCTTATTTAGCTGAGAAATCCTTCTCATGCTAACATGGCCCAATCGTCTATGCCACGTACATTGCTCTTCATTAACAGACATACGACATTTTGCATTTTTATCTTTAAGATCAGAAAGTATAATCTTATAGATGTTGTTCTTCCTCTTGCCATAGAAAAGGATAGAGCCATCCTTCTGACTAACAACCTTACTGGAGTTTTGATTAAAGATTATATCAAAACCATTGTCATTTAAATTACTTATAGACAATAAATTATGCATTAATCTATCAACAAGCAAAATATTAGTAATAAAAGTGAGAGAATCATTACCAATTGTTCCAGAGCCTATTATAATCCCTTACTGATCACTTCTGAGACCTACAATGACTCTAAGCTTAAGTTCAAGGCTTTGGAACATATGCCTTTTTCTCGTCATGTATCATGAGCATACAGAGTCCAGGTACCATGACCGGTGTCTTAACTTTACTGATAAGGATATCTACAACATATATTATCTTCTTCTTAGGTATCCACAACTTTTTGGGTGCTTTCTTGTCAGTGTTTCCAGAGGTTTTGACAACTTTGGGTTTAGGAGAAAAATAATCATATTTTCAAGAATTAGAATGACGGGGTTTAGCTATTTGTTTTTCCTTATGTTTAGAAAGAGGTTTTTCCTTAGGCCCAAAACCAACCGAAACAAAATGAGAATGAAGAGTATTAGGTTTATCTTCCTTTTCAGAATCAGATTCTTCATAAGAATCATAACCAATGCCTTTAGTCTCGTTTCTGCTAACACCATAGATCATTGAAGCCATTAAGCTTCTTCCTAGGATTCTAGCTAGAAATTTTTGGAAAGACTTGTCATTTTTATGACATCATCAGTATTTTTAGAAGCTTTTGAAGAATTTTCTTCTCAAGTCTGGAACTCATGCTCTTGAGAGCAGAGTTTTCATCTTTAAGAAAAAAGTTTTCTTCATTTAAAATGGAGATTTCTTCCTTAAGCTTGTTGTGTTCATTAGAAATAGATTCATGGACCTTTTTCATATCCCTGAATTTGATCTGAAGCTCCTGATGCATTTCCTGAATCTCAAATAAAGAATATGTTAAATCAGAATGAAATATGTCAAAAAATACCTCTTCAATGTCTGAGTCTGATTCTGATTCTACTTCTGATTGGATCTTCTCATCAAATTATCTAATACTTGCCATCGACACCATATTAGCTTGCTCTTCTTCGGAATCACCTTCTTAAGAGTCAGAATCATCCTAGGTTTCCATTAGCCATTTCTTCTTGCTTTTGAAGGATCTCTTATTGGGCTTGTCCTTTCTGTGATTAGGACACTAGTTCTTGTAATGGACAGACTCTTTGCACTCCTAGCATGTGACATATTTGTTCCCACCAAACTTCTTGGGAAATTTTGACTAACACCCAGTCTCTCAAGGAACAATCAACTTAAGAGTTGAAATACAATTAGTGTGTTTACAAAGTTGCTTC